ATTACTACTCAAATTTACTCTTAAAAGCAACCAGTGAAAACCCACAAAGAAAATTTCATTAGTATACTGAGTACAAACTCAACTCACCACATCCCTTTCTATTTTTAATGCTGTTTAATCTCACAAGGTTGGGTTCCCTAGGTATATAATGAGGCATAAAGATTTAATTAACCAAAAATAAAAAATAAAAAATTTTAAAAAGAAGATTTAATTAACCTTGCTGCTTCTGTTCTGCCAGGGTGCTCTACTGAGGCCTTATTTAAATAGGATTTCATGCTAGTTTCTTCATAATTATTAACCAAGTCCAAAGGTTTTTATTCTATTTCTACCCATAGCATTATTTGAAGTGTAACTGTTAAGAAATGTCTTTTTTTTTTTGAGACAGAGTCTCACTAACTCTGCTGCCCAGGATGGAGTGCAGTGGCACGATCTCCGCTAACTGCAAACTCTGCCTCCTGGGTTCAAGAGATTTCCTGCCTCAGCTTCCCAAGTAGCTGAGATTACAGGTGCACACCACCACACCCAGCTAATCTTTGTGTTTTTAGTAGAGATGGGGTTTCACCTTGTCGGCCAGGCTGGTCTCGAACTCCTGACCTCAAGTGATCCACCTGCCTCCGTCTCCCAAAGTGTTGGGATTATAAGCATGAGCCACCGCATTTGACCAATAAATGTCTTTTTTCTGAGATGGAGTTTCACTCTTGTTGCCCAGGCTCAGCTGCAATGGCAAGATCTCAGCTCACCGCTACCCCTGCCTCCCGGGTTTAAGTGACTCTCCTGCCTCAGCCTCCCAAGTAGTTGTGATTACAGGTGCGCACCACCACGCCTGGCTAATTTTTGTATTTTTAGTAGAGATGGAGTTTCTCCACGTTGGCCAGGCTGGTCTCGAACTCCTGACCTCTGATGATCTGCCCGCCTCGGCATCCCAAAGGGCTGTGATTACAGGTATGAGCCACTATGCCCGGCCAGAAATGTCTGTTTTAACTTAAAGTACAAAAACTTATTTATCTAAATGACTGGTCCCCTCACCCTTGCAAATCGAGCCACCTTTCTTTGCCTTTTTTTTGAGACAGTCTAGCTCTGGAGCCCAGGCGGGAGTGCTGTGGTGCGATCTCAGCTTACCACAACCTCCATCTCCTGGGTTCAAGCGATTCTCCTGCCTCAGTCTCCTGAGTATCTGGGATTACAGCCACCTGCCACTATGCCTGGCTAATTTTTGTATTTTTAGTTGAGAAAGGATTTCACCATGTTGGCCAGGCTGGTCTCGAACTCCTGACCTCAAGTGATCCGCCCGCTTTGGCCTCCAAAAGGGTTAGGATTACAGGCATGAGTCACTGCGCCCAGCCTAGCCATTTCTCCTTCGAAAATATTGTAGCTGTTTGAAATATTTTTGGGTCTCTACTCTTTAGTTTTGCCTTCATAGAGAGGTGGTGATCCTTACTTGAAGATTGGTTTTGTTACTTTAAAATCCAAAACTATAGCAACGAATACTATTGTCCAATACAATATCCACTTTATTTAACTTCTGGAAACAGTGTTGAACATGCACAGCATTAATTGGAAATCAGATATGTTAGGTAGCACACATTTTTTAATTAAAAAATTAATAGTTACATAATTATTTTAACTGTATTAACTGTATATATATGAAAAGCATGTTGAATCCATAATTTAATGGATGTTACTTAAGGGAACGCTGTATTGTTTAAGGAAAAACTTATTTAAGTAAAAATACAGTGAGTTAAATTGCTGAGAGATAGCAAGCAGTAACCCAGGCTATGAGGATGAGACAAAGACTGTGAAGCGGGTACATCAATGACTAAGGTGCGAGAAACACCTGGGAATGAAAACACCGCGGCTCTGGGGCTCCGGTTATTTTGCTGATTATCCGGGAGTCTGTGGGCGAGTGACTTACCTTCTCTGAGCGCTACTTGCTGATCCATATGGTGAGAGTGAGCTGCAGTGGTGATCAGAGATAAGTTTCGTGGGTACTCAGCACAGTACCTAAAGGGCTCCATTGTGCGAATTCTTTAAAAAATCAGAACCACTCTCATGGGACAAAGCTATTGAATCTACTTTTTGAAAGTTGCCACAGTTTGAAGGGAAAACCAGGGACATTTCATTAAGCGTGATGAGCAAAAGGTGGCAGCTGGATGGTTGCTGTGAGGGCTCAAAGTATTCCTTTGAACTTATTCACCTGGGCAGTTTTGTTAAGGGACCAGTCTCAGAATGAAAGAGTCAGGTAGTTACTCCTTATATGATGCTAAATAACTGGTGCTACCCTTGAACTCTAAGAGTTTATCAACTCATAGACATTAAGCCATGAGAGTCTGTCTCTTACTGACCCTGATAATCACTCTCTCTCTTTTCCTTGGTCAATTCAAAGCTTATAACTAAACTCACAGATCAATTCTAGAAATCAGAATCACCTTATGAACCACTTGCTTTGCCCATTCACCTACACTCCTGTGCTAAAGTGCACTTTCCTTGGTACTGGTATTTTTTATTCTCACTCTACTATGGTTTTATACAAATTCCCATTCTTAAAAATCTTTTTTTTTTTTAAAATATAGAGACCAGTCTCACTATGTTGCCCAGGCTGGTCTTGAACTCCTGGACTCAAGCAATCCTCTCTCCTTGGCCTCCCAAAGTGCTGGGATTACAGGTGTGAACCACCCTTCCTGGTCCAGATTCCCATTTTGTATATGTCCAATGTGAAAGGGAGAGTACATAATATCTTAGTCAGCTCAGGCTGCCATAACCAAATTGCTTAACAAGGCAAATTGGCCGGGCCCGGTGGCTCACGCCTGTAATCCCAGCACTTTGAGAGGCTAAGGCGGGCGGATCACAATGTCAGGAGTTCAAGACCAGACTGGCCAACATGGTGAAACCCTGTCTCTACTAAAAAATACAAAAAATTAGCTGGGCATGGTGGCTCATGCCTGTAATCCCAGCTACTTGGGAGGCTGAGGTAGGAGAATTGCTTGAACTGGACCCGGGAGGTGGAGGTTGCAGTGAGCCGAGATCGCGCCACTGCACTCCAGCCTGGGCTACAGAGGGAGACTCCATCTCAAAAAAAAAAAAAAAAAAGCAAATTAATTTTCTCACAGTTCTGGAGGCTGGAAGCCTAAGATCAACATGGCCACATGGTCGGATTTTGGCGACGGCTCTTTTCTCAGCTTTCACGTGGCTGTCTTCTTGCTTTGTCTTCACACGTCTTCGGGGTTGGAGGAGCGAGGATGTCAAGTGCAAGCTCTCTAGTGTCTCTTATGAAGGCACTAATCCCATCACGATCCTCCCACTGTCATGACCTCATCTTACCCTAATCACCTCCCAAAGGCCCCATCTCCAAAACACCATTACACTGGGGGTTGGAGGGTCAACATGTGAATTTTGGAAGGCTATGGCATTCAGCCCATGACACTCAGTAAACAAGCAGATAATAAAAGTCATGTCATCTTTTGCCAAGAGCCAGCAATTTATCATCTGTGTCCCACCAGAATTTCCAGACCATCCGAAGAAACGTCTTCTTTCTTGGATCAGTCATTGTAAAACTAGGCAAGCATGCTGACAACAAATATTTGTTCTCAGACGGAGCCAAGTTTATATCCCAAATTGTTCATCAGCCATCACTGATTCACAAAAGATGAGCAAGATCTCCTGACATATCAATTTAGTGGGTTCTCTTCCTCACTCTAGTTGGGCCCCCCAAGTATATAAAACGAGAGCCTACAACGTGACAGGCAAGTGTAGGATGGAATGACCTCATCTAGTCTGACTATCCTGACAGCAGAACTTATTGCACTGTGTTTTGGGGTGAGAAATTGAATCTCAATAAGATTAAGTGATGTGCACAGCATTAAGCAACCCATAATTGAGGAGCTCACATCTGAACCCGAGTCAGTCTGAATAGAAAGGCTCTGAGAGGCCTTAGATGTATTACTTGCCAAATGTTCATTCACTCATTGAACTTCCTATCATGTGCCAGGCTCTATGTAGTCAATAGCAATGGATAAAACAGAACGACAGCAACAAAAATTCCAGGTCAGGCACGGTGGCTCATGCCTGTAATCCCAGCATTTTGGGAGGCCGAGGCAGATGGATTACCTGAGGTCAGGAGTTTGAGACCACTCTGGCCAATATGGTAAAAGCCTGTCTCTACCAAAAATACAAAAATTAGCCAGGTGTGGTGGCAGGAGCCTGGAACCCCAGCTACTCAGGAGGCTGAGGCATGAGAATTGCTTGAACCTGGGAGGTGGAGGTTGCAGTGAGCCAAGATCATGGCACTGCACTCCAGCCTTCGTGACATGAGTCTCTGTCTCAAAAAAAAAAAAAAAAAAAAAAAAAAAAAATTCCTGCCCTTATGACTTATTTACAGGATATAGATAATAAACAAAACAAGTAAAATAAGTAGCATATCATACAGTGACAAGTAAAAACAAGGGCAGTGGGGTGGGGTGCAATGGCTTATGCCTGTAATCCCAGCAATTTGGGAGGCTGAGGCAGGAGAATTGTTCAAACCCAGGAGTTTGAGACCAGCCAGGGCAACATAGTGAGACCCCATCTCTACAAAAACATTCAAAAATCAGCTGTGCATGGTGGCACGTGCGTGGATTACCAACTAGTCTGAAAGTTGAAGCAGGAAAATCACTTGAGGCCAGGAGTTCAAGGTTACAGTGAGCTATGATTGCACCACTGCACGCCAGCTGGGTGACCGAGTGAGACCCAGACTCAACATAGACACACACACAACACAACAGCAACAACAACAAATGGGGGAGGGGGGCTAGGATGACTGGGTTGGAAGGAATCACAATTTAAAATGCAGTCGCCAGGAAAGACCTTACTAAGAAAGAGACAGTTAAGCAGAGACATGGAAACAGTAAGTCGTATCAGAATCTCATTAACTCGGAGGCTCCCAAGGTGCATGGGCGAGTGACAATTTTTGAAAAGCCATTGTGTCAGGACTCTTTTTCTTGTAAATGATAGAAAAATAGACTCACCTTGACTTCGGCAAGAAGGGGGAATGTATTAGCTCAGGGAATTGAAAAGTCCAGGTCAGGCTGGATTCAGGGGGTCAAACAATGTCACTGGGACACGACCTACTTCATTGTGTATTTCTGCTTTTCTCTGTGGTGGTTTGTTCTCTAGTCCCACACGGAGGTAGGATGGCTACCAGCAACTCCAGACCAACATCCTGCGGAGTTCAAACCCAGAAGGGAAGAGAGAGTGCCTCTTTACCAGCAGGCTAAGCAAAGGTCTCAGTGCATCTTATTGGGTCACAGGCTCATCTGGACACTTTACTATGATTGGGAACATATGGCTCTGATTGGCTGGGCCCAGTCACCTACCTGCCTAACCCTGGAGTCACGGGGAGAGTCAACTTACTGACAGTAGGGGAAGGCAGGCCCTGAGGAAATATGTGGTGTTGACTGCAGGGCGGAGAAAGAAACACGTATCCACAATATCACTGATCTAAAAATAATTTCTTTTGGGACATTGTGTGCGTTGTTGACACAGATTGCTCTATACCCAAAGCGTGGTTAGTAACAGATTACAAATTTCTCCCTAAGAGACAGTCTACACATAGCATATGCTCCTTCGATGAAACTCCTGGGTTTCTGGGGTCTCCTGTCACTACACAGGACATGTTAACAGCACATTCACAAGCTCTCAGACCTTCATGGGTGGCTGGATGTGTGGTTTTAGCCTGTGACCTCTTGTGCTTCCCCCATGGGTTTTCATCAGCCACATCACAAGTGCCTCATATCCTCAGTGTCAGAAGCTCAAGGCCTTTAAAGTCTTGTTCCACTCAGAGTTACTTGTTACCTAAGGGGCCTGACAATATTGTAGTCTATAGTCCTAGATTCTGACAAACCTACCCACTACTTGAGTAGAATCTTGGTGTTTTTCTAGGAAACTCCATTTTTATGCTTTGATGTTACACAGCCGTGGGGCTAGGTTTTGACTCTATCACTTACCTGCTGCTGTGGGACCCTATGCAAGTCATGTGACTGACTTCCTGAGCCTCAGGTTTCATATTTGCAAAATGAGGTCATTAAAATGAGTAAATAAATGACCGTGTATAAAGAATCCAGCAACAACAGCCTGGCATACAGCGGGAGCTCAGAACATTTGCTTCTTTTTTTCCACTTCCCTGCTCCCTTTTTCCATGAAGCCATTATCAGGCTTCCCTGGAGTCCATGTTATGCAACTTGTAGATAAACCTGTCAAATAAAAAGGAAAGGAATGAAAGGGATGGGTAAATGAACCCTGGGGCAAAGCTGGGGGATGTGTAGTTGAGTGAAAAATCATACGCTTTGGAATAAAACTGAATTTTAAATACACACCCCATCCCTTGTTAGATAGAAGGCCTTGGGAAAATTACTTAATATTCCAGAGTCCCAATATTCACAATGAGGAAAACAATTACTGCTATTTAAGGTGGTTGTGAGGATTAGTTAAAATAATGTAACCTGGCACACAGGAGGCCTTCCTTGAGTCCTAGTTCTCTTTGTTTGCAGAAGTAATTTAATACCTGGGTGAAAGCAATTGACAATCAAGACACTTACACAAAAAAGCCCAGATACATTTATTTTCCTGATGGCTGAAACATCCAGACTTTTGTTTGTTCTCCTCCCTTTTTGCTTATGCAATTTATTCCCCTTGTGTTGAAGGCTGGGCAGAGGAAATAAATTCCCCTTATGCTAGAGGAGAAGAATCACTTGAGGCCAGGAGTTCAAGGTTACAGTGAGTTATGATTACACCACTGCACACCAGCTGGGTGACTGAGTGAGACCTAGACACACACACAACACAACAGCAACAGAGGAAATAAAAGTCAGTCAACAAGGCCGTACTGACAACCTGACATGCTGGAAGAGAATGCTCTGTGTTATGGGTGGGAAACCAAATAAATCAGACATGTCCTTGGGAAGGCTTGACTCAATTAGGGGAAATAAAACATGCAAAAGAGGTTATTTTAAATGCTTATGAGCTAAATAACAGCCTGCTAACCAAATGCCAAGGTAGACCAGGAAGGAGGGAGCAACGTTGCGTGTCAGGAAGGCTTCTAACGACAGAGATTAGCAGGGAGAAGAACCCCCAGCGGAAGCCTAGAGGTGGAATGAAAACTCTCCTGCATGTGGGATGGTGACCTCACTGACTTATCTGTGCACCGGGAAGGCATTGTGCAGAGGTAATGAGATAAGAAGTCAAGAGGCTCTTGAGCAATCAAATGAGGCCAGTCACAGTCTGTTATACCTGTGACTCGCGCTGGTGATACAAACAAATCCAGTCTCCCAACCCGGTTGGACAAAGAGCTGAAACTTTCATCCACCATAAGATGGGGACCATTCCTCTTATCACTTTTTTTAAAAATGTAAATCTGAACTTTCTGGCAATTCTTACCAAGGGGTAAACCAGTAAAACTACATGTCTCTGGGTAGGGTTGCAGGGAAGAAGACCTGGAACTCCACCGGGTGCTGCATGTCAGCATAGCAATGGTACCAACTCTTCCTGGAGTTTAAATCACTGGATCTTCCCACCTCCACAACTAAGGACACAGGATGCCCAAGGTGGCGCTCCTGCCTCTGGCTGCTGGGCTACAGTGTCACGCTCCCCAGCCCACCTTAGTGTCTGAATAAAACCCTCCTTCCGTGCTCCTCTCTGCAGCTGGGTGTCATCGTGGCATGATGGCGATGAGCTGGCTCTGTTTCTCATGGGCTGTGTGAAATTTAGCCAGCTAAATAAAAGGATGATACCACTAATGGTAATTCTGTCCTGTAATTGTAACTAATTGGGAGGTAATTAATTTAAAAGGCTTAGCATAGTGTCTGGCACACAGTAATCACTTACTAAATAGTACTTACTATTATCTTAAACGAGCTTAAAGTTTGGACATTATTTTTTTCTAGAGCACAAAGGGCAGATTTGTGTGACCCAGAATGGAGTGGAGCTCCATTCGTTAGAAATGGATTTAAACCCAGAGGCGACTCTGGCATGGCAGAGTGGAGAATCTGCTACCTTTACTCTTCCGTCGCATTTCAATGTTTGAAGCACTCTTTGGTAGGAAGGTTAATGGAAAGGCTCAGTGGAGTGTGTGTATGCTTTTGTTTGTTTGTTTTTAGAGATGGGGTTTCACCATGTCAGCCTGGCTGGTCCTGACTGACCTCATGATCCACCCACCTCAGCCTCCCAAACTGCTGGGATTACAGGCGTGAGCCACCACGCCTGGCCTTTTTTTTTTTTTTTTTTTTGAGTATTCAAAGTACAGTAACTTTTTCAGGACATTGCTTAGAAATAGACATATGTGTGTGTGTGTGTGTTATGCATAAGTGAATGAATAAATAAATATAGTCTTTTTAAAACTTGAAACCCAAATGCTTTATTTAAAGGTGCATCTCAATTCCCATGTGGCAGACAAACAATAAAATAAATGAGCAGATCGTGACACACCATTCCCATCAGTCAGGTGGTGGAACCCAATATCCAAGACCCAGCGAGCAGCCAAGCTCAGCGTAAGCTTTGGGCCTCTTGCTGTGACTCCAACGGGGTGAGTGTGTCGCCCTTGTGCACTTCGGGTGATGGAGCGGCTCTTCTCATCCATAAATTCCAGGTGCACCTGTGTGCACTGTCCCTGAGAGCCGGTCCTGCCCAGGACCTCGATGACCCTGGCCAGCTTGATAGGCTGCACCTAGCTGGTGTCCATGATGGAGGCATGGCGGTGGTTTAGCAGAGAGCATATATACTTTTCTATATATAAATAAGTTTGTTAATTTTCAGTGTGATGGACCTGATGCCACTGAAGACAGAAAGACCCAGCATGGCTTTGCCACTGACTACATGTGTGATCTGAAGACAGTTATTCAACCCCCAGCTCAGTCTCCTCCGTTCGATAATAACAATTGTAAATTGTTATTATAACAAGCCTCTGACAAAACTTGAAATGAAAATGCTTTATCTAAAGGCGCATCTCAATTCAGACAAGCCTCTGAGTTCAATTTACAATGGTTATTATCGAACTCAGAGGCTTGTCGTGAGGATTAAACGAGATACCAAATGGAGTGTGCCTGGCCCGCAGGTGTTGAAAGTTTCATGAGATATGGAGTCTTGTCATCAAAGTCTTGGTTTCTAACCCAGCTCATCTACTCTCTGGGATAGTTTGGAAGAAATGACACATAAGAGACGGCCTATTTGGGGAAGACTTGACGAGGAGGAGAACTGGTTGGGTGGACATGTTTGGTCCTTGATGCAACTCCACTATGTGTAATGGCAACCTAAACCTTCTTTACACAGATGATGGTAGTCATGCAGCTTGTCATGGTAGGAGGTTTCAAAATAAATTTCGTCTGCAGCAGTGCTAGGTTGTTTGCTTAGGAGATTGTACTTCTGACCTAGATCCACCCTTTCTCTCCGGACCACAGCTGATAAAGGGAAACATCTGGATTATCCAGGTTCACTGGTCTGGGAGGAGGACAGGGTGGTGATCTGCGCTGAGAGGGAAGACTCCTCGATTCTGGTTCTACTCGCTGCTTGCTCATGGGCACACCACTTCATCTCTGAGTCTCAGCTTCCATGGGTTCAAACTGATGTTTTCTAAATTCTTTCCAAGTTCTAGTATCTCATAATTCTACGAATGTGTAACTTACTTTCCAGCTGAAGAACATGATCATACTAGACTAAGGCAATGCCAAAATGAAATCGCCTCATTCCGTTATGAAATTTATTTGGCTTTCTAAAAGGAGGGGGGCAGGATTCAGCCAGATGAATAATGATGAGCAAACACGCCTCGAAATCCAGGATGCAGAGTCTGGTCTTTAACAACTTGGAGGCAATGCCCTCTGCTCTCTCTAACACCCCACCCTGGCGGTCTGACACAGGGCTCCTGGTCGGGAGGAATTGCTCTTAGTCTCTGGCGAGGTTATTCTATCGGATTTCAGAGCTGGTTTTCAAGTCTCTGTCATTCCAGAGAGGCTCCCCTCAGTTCTCAGTCTCCCAGCAAAGGCAGCTCACACCCTCTCTCCACATGTTATTCTGGATGGATGTTCAGAGCAAGTTGACGCACGAGAAAGGCATGAGCTCTCCTACATGCTCCCCAGGCAGGTCCACCCAGGGCTATTTTCTCTGGAACCAAGCTTAGTCACTTGCCAAACTCTCAAAACAGAGATGTCTGTAAAATTCCAGGAGGACTGTTTGTTCCCAGGCAAGTACCTTGTTTGGTGGTTAAAGTAAAATTGATAGAAGGTCTCTTCTGAGAAAAGCTACCCATTGAGTGATGAAAACCGGCCACCCAGAATATAACTGGGGACTTACTAGCACAAGCATGTATAATCACCACTGTTACATTTTTAAAGCCC